ATGTTTATCTTTCTCAACCGTAATCTCTCTGGCCCAATGGGAACCTACCCAGAAACTCTGACGACCCTGGGAACACAATCTTCACTGCAGAAACAGGACCTGCCATTCTACACCTGGCACCTGGATGGTTTTTTATCTGCACTGCCCAGTCGGGGATCGAATTCTTGGTCCTGCATCCGTGGGGCACAAATTCATTAACATGGAAGTGAGACTCGCTCCACGGAAACTCGTTTTGTTAAGAATATTACCTTTCAGGAACTAGGTTCAGGAGGAAAATCCTCTAATGTGACCTAGGAAATCTACACTACGAGCAGGAGAGTGTCAGCAAAGCTGCAGGAACGAGGTGGTTGTTCGCAGTGCGGGGCAGATCGGGGGAGAAAACAGAGCCCGAGAGAGAAGTTCATGTTCGTGGAACCAAAGACACAGAGAATAAGAGCAGCAGCTAAATGTGAAGCAAAACTCCACACTGGAAAACTGAATTTTTGATTCTGATAGATGAGAACATCATGGTACAACCCACCTTAAGAGGAAGCTCCATCCCGTGAAGCCCCAACGCGATTCCGTGTCTACAGTCTCATTTTTAAGGCCTGTACTCTAAGACGCCGATTTTAGGGTGCACTGTCATTGCCAAGACACGGAGAAATGCTGCCAATTAGACTGTCCTGTTTAATTTTTGTTTTATATTCATTTAAAGAGCTCTCTTATACTTATCGATGCTGGGTGATAGACAGTACTACAATCTCTACTCTTGCGTCTGTTTACAAATTCTCATTTAAACATTTTGTAAGAAAGGAAGGGTTCTTTATGGGTATAGATTTGGGCATACAGATTTGAGTATAGAATTATTTTTGCTTTTTATTCTAAAATAGTGCAATATTTTCTTAATTTTAGCTTTAATTTTTAATGCAACATTATCAACTATTTTTTAATCCACTAATTATTTACTATGCAACTCCGGCTCCATAGATGGATAGTAAGTGGCCTTTCCTGGAAGCTGATTTTCCTGAGTCATGGACTTCCTGTCGTGGGTGCGAGTTTTAAAGCCGTAGCTCTCAAACCTGGCCACACGCTGGAGT